CGACGCTCTTCCGATCTTTTGAGCATTGGCTTGCTAAACCCCAGGTTGTGAATTCAATCCTTGAGGGGGTCACGAGGGATCTGGGGCAAAAATCAGTACTTGGTCCTGCTAGTGAAGGCAGGGAGCTGGACTAAATTACTTTTCAGGGTCTCTTCCAGTTCTAGGAGATAGGTATATCTCCACATATTTATTTAGATCCACTCCGGGCCCTTGCCAGGAACCTGACAGACCCAGCTTATCCAGTAGTCTCCAAAGATGACTTTTCCACTCCCCCTCCAGACCCCACCAGCTGGACCTGGGGCCGGCCACCTGTAAATAAAGGCACTTTAAAGCATATTGATGTTATATTCAGCAACTCAATATTCTTCAGGGCACTCAGGGGAGAACATACCTTCCAGAGCTGCTACAATGAGAACGAAATGGAGACAAAGTCTCATTTTTCCTGGTTTTGGAGGGGAAACTTATCAGGTGGGTTTGGCTGGTAACTGCATAGACACCAGAGGGCTGCGGATTGTCTCTGACTGCAGCCTGGGCAGAGAGGGACAGATTTAAACAGGAAACTCTCACCCCTATTTGAATATCCCCCACTTATAGGAGACACAAACCCTTTCCCTGAATGCTTGGAGTTATTTGGCCAGTGGCTCTAAGGGAGGAAGTCGGACTGGTGCGAACTCCGTGTCTGGGCAGCGCCCAGCGAGTGCGGGGCCATCTGACCATACAGGTTCACCAAGAGCTCCCTTGAATCCCCTCCCATCCCTCCAGGTGTAAGGGCTGAGATACAGTCTGGTGAAGGGAATGGCAAGACCCACCTCTGGCGTTAGCGGACTGTGGGTCAGGCCCTTAGAGAGAAGTGAAAAGGGAAGAATCAGGGGAAAATCTGTTTTTCTATTGAGTCTAGAGGTGTTTGGAGCCTGATGTACCCTTTGAAGTGTGTGTTAGATCGACACTGGCATCTTATTGTTTTTCAGAGGGATTTGAGAGCAATTCTACCCATCCCCCAACAAACAACAAAAGCATTTGCACAGTCATCACTTTTAGGCGGCTTTGGAAGCCCAAGTTCTGATTCTCACACTGAACAATTGGTTCCCCAAATATTTCTCTTGTGCAGTCTGCAGTTTTACTTCAGTGTCTGATGAGCGCCAGTGTAATCATGTGATAGTTAAGTTGTTGCAGTTTTTATGGACACGTGATCGTATATGAATACAGAGATCTCAAACCTGACGAGAGGGTTTTTTCGCTCTGGTTGTAGATCCCGTTCCTGGGCCCAGGGCTGGATGGTTTGTGGAAGTGCTGCCCCCACGCGGCGCATGGCAGAAAGAAGAGTCTGCAGTTTGAGTTTTTGTCTTAGCAGTATCTGGATTCCCTGCACTGTGTGTCGCACAGTAATAGCGGGCGGTGTCCTCGGGCTTCAGGCCGGTCATTTGCAGATAAAGCTCACTCTTGGAATCATCCCTGGAGATGGTAAATCGGCCTTTTACTGAGTCACTGTAGTTTATGCTAGAACTGTAAATCCGGGCGATCCACTCCAGTCCCTTCCCGGGGGCCTGACGGACCCAGTGCATCCAGTTGCTGCTGAAGGTGAAGCCGGAGGCTTTGCAGGAGAGGCGGAGAGAGTCTCCGGGCCTTTTCACATCCCCTCCAGACTCCACCAGCTGCACTTGTGAAAGGGCACCTGGGGATAAAGATGAATGACGGGGAACATGAGTATGTAGGGAAACAGAATAACAATCCCCTGACTATCCAACACATGGCAAGGGAGAAAATACCTTCAAACACTGCTGCAATGAGAACGAGATACAACCAAAGTCTCATTGTCCCTGTGTTTGGAGAGGAGAGTTTTCAGGGGGGTTGTCTGGTGACTGCCCAGAGACAGAGGCTTCAGATTGTCTGTCCAGATGCAGCCGTGGAAGTGAGAGAGACAGCTTTAAACAGGAAACTCTCACCCCTATTTGCATATCCCCCTTTTTATAAGAGACTCCAATTATTTCCTAGAGCGAACTCAGTTTCTTTGTGTGTGGCTGAGAGAAGGGCCAGAATCTATCTCCGGGGTACCCCGCTCTCCTTGTCGGTGTATCTGTATCTGAAGAAGGGGGTGTTTTGCCCACGAAAGCTTATGCCCGAATAAATCTGTTAGTCTTTAAGGTGTCACCAGACTCCTGGTTGTTTTTGTGGATACAGACTAACACGGCTACCCCCCGATACAGAAGGATTAGGCTCTATCTTTTTCAGTGGGAGTCGCGTTCTGTGTCTTTCCTGCCCCCATCTCTCTCCAATCCACGTCTGCTTCTCCCAGTGCCTCAGTCTCTCTCTGAGCGGTTCCAATGACCCCTATCTTAGAACCCTTAGTCACGTGACTGTCCCCACTGACCTGAGTGCCCGCGCTGGGCTGAGAGGCCCCTGGGCAATTGCCCCCTTTGCCCCTGTCTGTCAGCGGGCCTGGCAGAGACCACTCAGCTCCTAGCCCAGGACTGGGAGTTTCAAAGGGGCCTCGTGGCTAAAGGAACCCACCTCACATTCGGTAATTATAGTCCAGAATTTCTGCTGCTGTCCCAGGGGGAGGTAAAGATCCAGCTATTTTACATAGTAACTGGGGACCGGCTGCTCTTAATTACAGGAAGCTCCCAAAGGTTGGCGCTGAGGGCAGTGGGCTAGTAAGGGTACCGGGAGGAAGTCTGTTAGGGCTTATTGGGATCGTGCAGAGAGAAGCCACAGCCCCATAAGGGAGGTGTCAGGGTTCATTAGGGTCAGAGAGCGCAGGGCTGGTGGCCTTGTCTGGTGGCTGCTCGCCTGGGGACCCTCATTCCCCTTTCGATACATCTGGTCTCGGACTGATGCGCCACAGTCATGCCATGCAAGAACAGAGCATTGTACACGCAGTGAACATATGGAATCCGCACTTTCAAAACAATATCAGAAACACGGAAGGGGGTGTCTGGGGGCGGCGGGAGCAGGAAGACGAGGATTCTCAGCTTTTTTTTTCTGTGAACCGGACACCAACAAACACCTTTCCAATACCGGTTCTTGCCTATCACTGTAAGTGTGGGGAGGTGAGAGCGCAGAAAGCCTGGCAGAGCGGGGCAGGCTCCTTTCCGTGCTGTCAAACCCGGACAGCAATTACAGCCATTTCCCTGACTGCGAAGAGGAGAATCGTGTCCGCTTCAGGGGTGTCAGGGCTGGGCCTGTAGACCGAGCATACGCCATCTAGCAAGTTGCCGAGGCAACAGCCAAGGCCCAGAGTCTGTTAAACCCTCAAGGAGTTCAAAGCTTTTTCCATCCTTTTTTCTCCAGTAACGAGTCTCGCTCCTACTCTTGGCTCCTCAGACCAAGACGTGAGATCATGGGAACTGAAGAACGGCCAGACTGGGTCCGATCAATGGTCCGTCTAGCCCAGTGACAAGGGAATCATCAAACCATCCCCTGGGAAGGGGCTTTGTCTGGTATAAGGAGGGGGATACGCAAATAACGGTGAGCGTTTCCTGTTTAAATCTCTCTCTGCAGGGCTGCACCCGGAGAGAATCCACAGCCCCCTGTGTCTGTGCAGTTACCAGCCAGTCCACCAGAGACCTTTCCCCTCCCACACCAGGGATAATGAGTCTGTGGCTCCATTTAGCTTTCGTTGCAGCCGCTTTGGAAGGTATTTTCTCCCCTGTGTGGATAAGTGAGTCAGCGGAATGGTGTGTGGTTGGCAGTTCACACTGACACGATTTTAACACGCGTTTATTCCCAGGTGTCCTGTCACAAGTCCACTGCTGGAGTCCAGAGGGGATGTGAAAAAGCCCGGAGACTCCCTCAGACTGACCTGTACCACCTCAGGGTTCAACATAGACAGCCACTGAATTAACTGGATCTGTCAGTGCGGCTCCCGGGCAGGGGCTGCGGTGGGTATCAGCAATTAGTGGAGCAACCACCTGCTACGGAAATTCAGTGAAAGGGCGATTCGCCCCCCGCCCCCACCCGCACAAACACTCCAGCTCACCCTTCCCTGCACGCTGCGCTGGGACACGTGTCTGTGTGTGTTTGTGAGTCTGTGTAGAGGTGGGAGATGGAGAGAGAGAGAGAGAACAGTTAGATCAGTGGTTTGCTGAGGCCAATGCCTGTCATGCTGACTAATATTATCTTTGTTCCCTGTGATCTCCCATCTGTTGTCTCCTGTTTTTTACCTAGATAATAAAGTCTTTGGGGGCAGGGATCCAATATTAACTAGAATATTAAATGCTCTGGAACCTTTTACACTCTGAGCCTAGAGGCTTTAATTCTTTCCAGAATAAAAGACACGGCTGTGAAGGGGATGATTATCTAGTTCTAAATGTATAGATGGCGCCTCTTCGTATGAAAGACTCGGATTTTCAAAGGAACCTAAGGGAGTTAGGCACCCAAATCCCATTGGACGAATAGCTCCCATGTGTTTAGAGTGTTTAACGGTTTGAATAAAAGGTCCAGATTTTCAGCTGGCATACGTAGGGGTAGCTGCTGTATTGAATCCAGTGGATCTGTGACCATTGGTTCCAGTTGTGGATTTGCTCTCACCGTGTAGGTCCTTCTTAAGGCCACAACAAGCAAAGCCGTGTGAAATCAGAGGCGAGAGTTTCATTGGTTCCAAAGGGCTGTAGATCATTCCCATCACCCATTTCGGTTGTCTAAGGTGACAGCCCCTGTCCCGTGATAATAATGGCCAGGGGAGTGAACGTTCCCCTTCTACCAGGAGCAGGGAAGTTTGTGTAAAAGGGCCCTGAGTGTCTGCACAGAACTCGCTTCCTCTTTTTGTGCCAGGCCCTGCTCTGCTCTGTGTCACTGTGTCTCTGGCGCAGTAATAGGTGGCGGTGTCTGCAGCTGTCAGCGAGCGGAGCTGCAGGGAGAACTGGTTCTTGGAAGGGTTCACCGAGATGGTGATGCGACTCTGGAGGGAAGCAGCGTAGTTGGTGCTTCCCCCTTGAGCTATATCCCCGATCCATTCCAGCCCTTTCCCGGGACTCTGCCGGATCCAGTGCCACCAGCAACAGTTACTGCCCAGGGTGTCCGAGGAGGCGCCTGAGATGGAGCAGGTGAGGCTGAGAGTCTCTGAGGGTTTTACAGTCCCGGGCCCTGACTCCACCAGCTGCACTTGTGACAGGACCCCTGTGGAAAAGACAGAGCCGTGTGAATTCATCCCACAACCCATTCATCCCCTGGTGCTGTGCAGATCGGTCCCACCCAATACTCACACGAGGGGGCGGCCAGCAGGAGAAGGGATACAAATAATGGCTTCATGATTACACTGTCAGAGAATAGAGCCTCTCTCCGAGACACCAGAGAATCTGAGCTTTCTACCTCCAGGAGCATGTGTTTATACAGGACACGCGTGGGCTGGGATTTGCATGCAGCTATCCCTCAGGGGATATAAGGGAGGAGAGGGGTTGAAAGGGAAATGAGAACGCTCTGTGACACACGAGTCAGATCTACAGCTACTGAGTTTGAATCATAGAATTGTCCAACAGAAATTGGAATGACCCAGGTGGCTCAGGGCACGTGCGGGTCTCGGTCTGGGCATCATCTCAGGTATTGTCAAAGGCTGCAGGGAAAAGTGGTTCTTGGATGTGTCTGCAGAGATGATGGTTCGGCCTTTCCAAGCGTGGGAATAAACTGAACCTCTCCCCATACATCATGTGGTCTATCCATTGCAATCCTTTCGCAGCAGGCTGCCAGACCCAATTCCAAGAGTGATAACTCTGAGTGCTGGGAAGGTTTGAGACATCACAGGTCAGCGTGAGGTTCTCTCCTCCCTTCCCCATTCTCTGGGGGTACTTGGCCCTGCCTCCGCCTGGGGGCGATGGACCAGGTGACCTCTGGAGATCCACTCCAGCCCTACATTTCTAGGATTCTGTGATTCCTGGCACGGACTAGACCAACTGGATTTCATAGAGGACACCTTTCGGGGAGTAAAGAAGGAGCAAATATATGAGCTAAAGGCAGTTATAGAGAGAAACGATTCTCTCCCTATTTTCTCCAATACACATATGAAGGACTAGCTAATAGAAGATTGACGTCTGTAGGGATTTTATATTTATGGACAGTTACTGTGGAAGATTTGGGCTCCAGGTTGTGGATGACATATTCCTGGATGAACATTGGAGTATCTAGGATCAGAGCCTTGTGTTTAAACAGGGACTCACTGGGGGCAGAGATGCACATGGGGTTTTCACCCAATGGTGAAGGGAAATGAAAGGGATCGAGAGGGAGGTTTCCAGTTTAAAGAGGATGCTTCCTCTGGGATATGCCCTCATAGACGGAGAAAATACATTTCAGAGTCGTGGGACTTCAAGCACAAAGTCTAGTTGGGGCGTACGGAGTAGCACTCAGTGGGAGTTAGGGATGTAGCCCAGGCTTTCTTTCGTAACTGCTACTAGATGCATATCTGCATTTTAGGCACCATTGAAAATCTGGCCCATGATGCTGAAAACTATTTATAAAGGCCAGAATCTTCACCGAAAGTGTTTGTCTCAAACTAGTTTTTCTCCTCTTTCAAGGGAATACTTTCCACAGACTTTTGCACAATTTACCTGTGTAACTCATTGCCGCAGGAGATCATGAGGGCCAAGGTTTTATCCCCATGAATGATCATTTTATTGTTAGATTATGTTCATCTCCACATTTATGAATACTATAGAAAACGGGTTATTTCCCCAGTCATTCACCTTTGGTGTAACTCAGTGGTAACTCCGTTGGAGTCAAGGTGGATGAATCTCCATTCACTTTCTTTCTTTCTTTCTTTCTTATCATAACGCGTGTAATGAAAATCAGATGTGCACAGAGGAGTTTATAAATTGTACAGGGTA